AAACCAGATTTCAGTGATAGCCTTAAAGTATTGTTCAGCAAACTTTTAGTTCATGCATTCCATCAGGTTTGCTTACTTGTTTTATTTATTAATTTATGTTCATATACACATATATTTAAAATCACTTCCAGGATTTCCATCTTTTTTTATTATTACCTTTGTTGATTTCAATATTTTTGAGTGGTTTAATATTTTTTTTGTCTTCAGTGGAAGAGTATGTAAACTTTTTAAGCACAACTGTACATTCTATAAATAATAGGTTTTCTCCTTCCAGCAACAAGTTTTTTGCATGGCTTGTGGATGTCACATCAAAATAACATGGGTTTTGTGGTTTGTATTTTTGTTTCTTTCATTTTTAAGAATGTACGTACAGTATCAAGGTCAAAACCAAACCTCTCCACAGAAATGTGTCGATTGCGCTTATTGGGATTACTATAATTAAATAGTTAGATTGAATATTTTACTGTATACATTTAACTGCAAAAGAAAGTCGTACGAATCTGCTTTTTCCCCTTCATCTCCAGGATACAGATATTTCATCTTCTGACATTAGAAAACTGTAAAGAATGATACCCCATTTAGGCTTTCAACTACGAATTGAATTATTAGTTTTAGGGGCGGTTTGCAGCATTCTAAAAACAACAACCTGAAAATCTGACTCTGCTGACTCTGGACATTATGGGAACCATCCCAAGTGTCAAGCAGCAGCTGGAATTAGGAAATTGCTTTGCACGTGTAAAACAACTGGGTCATACAGATGCAACAACCACTGCATATATTTCTTTATTTTTCCATAAGTAAAAGTAAGATTAGAAAAAAGAGGATGTCACTAAGAATAGAATAGAATAGAATAGAATAGAATAGAATAGAATAGAATAGAATAGAATAGAATAGAATAGAATAGGATAATCTGCAGCAAAGAAACAAACAGAAATTAAACTCAGTCTACTAAATGCACAATTGTAATAAAATAATTCAGACTGTACAGTACATGTTTTAAAAATACCAAATACAGATAGATAGATAGATAGATAGATAGATAGATAGATAGATAGATAGATAGATAGATAGATAGATAGATAGATAGATAGATAGATAGATAGATAGATAGATAGATAGATAGATAGATAGATAGATAGATAGATAGATAGATAGATAGATAGATAGATAGATAGATAGATAGATAGATAGATAGATAGATAGATAGATAGATAGATAGATAGATAGATAGATAGATAGATAGATAGATAGATAGATAGATGGACAGGCGAACTGACAGACAGTTCAGAAAAATAAAACAGTTGTAAATTGCAGCAAATTGTAAATTCCAGGTTTTACGTTAATCTATTTTCCCCTCGACTTAGACCTGAATATGTTTTTGTTTAATTTCTGTTTTGGTTATTTTATTCTAATGGTTCTGGGTTCAGTAAAAATGCAGGGAGTAAAAAGAATGTCCTAATCAAACTGGCTAAGAGAAACTACTTAATATTAATTTCTTTCTTTTTGTCAAAACCATGAATGAAATACATATAATGATTATTTTATCCAGTTTCATACCTTGTTGTTTGCAAGTAAAAGCTTATGTCCTCATTGTTATTATAGGTACAAATGCTTATTAATAAACAATCAGATGCCAACCCTTGTCTTCAGTTAAATCTATAAACAAAGAGCTACGTAACAACAGAGAAACCTTAGACAGATCACTTACTCCAAACTTCATGCCCTTCAAAAGCAATTTAGCTTGCTTAAATCAATGCATATTTTAAAATATACATTAAATAACACCTCTTGGCGATGCTGTTTTGAAGGGCTCTGACAGTATCATCAATAATGATCTATTCTAGCAGCTTGTCCTCTATGGATCCCCAGATATGTTTACACAGATAAAAGCAAGTAATTGTACTGTACATTCCACAAGGCAGCACCATCAGAGGGTGCCCTCTACTTGCCAATTAGTGAATATATAAGAAGAATTTATTGCAAGCCAAAAGAAGTGTAAATGGAAAAAGAAGTTCAGACATTATAGACTCGTTGCAAACTACCAATTTAAAAATGTACATGTCAACATGATCAAAAATAAACACCAGTCGGCATCCTACATCTTTTCATCTTATACAAAATAATCTCCTTTGACATTTAAAACCCACCAAGGAAATGTAACATTTCACCCCCATGTCGAACCTCTGAGGTTAATGGTGTTAGTTCAGCAATTAGTTCAACAATTTTCACATACGCTACTGTTGTTCTGATCTTGTATTAATCAGCGGCAGGTGTTCCCTTCACAGCTGGTTAGTTTGTGCTGATGTGAAAGGCTGTCAGGCTTCATTGTGTGTCGCAGTCTGGGACTGACTTTCTGTATTCTTGCTGCATCATGCAGTAGTTCAGGTGGCACCAAAGCATACATGGCACCTGGGTGGCTGTGACTGAAAGCTTACTAATATGTCTCTATACTGACCTATTCATGCTGCAGGCTGCAGCCCACCTCTGTTATAAAACATTTGACGTCTTTAATTTTGCACGGAGAAGTCCATATTATAACAAAATTCATTTTCAAATGGGATTTTCAACTTGGGCAGTTTCAAAATATTTTTCTGGACCAGGCCAACATTCAGACAAGTAGACAGTCCAAGAATTTCCCCACTGAGGATAGGACCCCTAAAGTAACAGCCACATGATCCTATTTTGAGGCTTTGAGCACATCACCACAGGTTTATTACAGACACGCTAGCATCAACTTTATCAAAGCGAATAAAAGGAAAATGCCAAACAATCCATGAGAAAGAGCGTTAAAAACTTTGGAGAAATTGCAGAGACAGATAAAAAATAAATAGAATGGTTTGAAATAAATTGATATACCTTTATTTTCGTGAAAAAGGGCTGAAATGGCTAAATGTCTAACCTTAAGGACATCAAAGGTGGTGTAGAAAAGAATACCTTGAGGTAAAAGGAAAGAATTTGTCTTTTATTATTTGATTCCATACAAACAAATTAATCTGTATAGAAAAATCCATACTACAAACAAACCTTTATAAATTATAGATTTTGTTCTTCAAAGTGCATCTTTAGTTAAATCTCTTCAAATCAGCAGCAGCAAATTGGGTAACATTCTTCCTAGAAGATATGGAACCGAAATAAATAAAGCACAATAACCTGTCTATAATGAATTAATAATCAAAGTATGTTTGGGCCAAAGTGGGAATGTGTAACCATCATTTTTAATTTGCTTTTTAAAAGAATGATTGTTTTATAGTTAAGAAATTTTGCTCTGCAAAAACAATGAGGGTTCTTTAAATCTCTTGTGGGGCAAAATTAACTGGGTCACAATGTTTGGTTAAAATGACCCAACTTTTGTCCAACCAGCATATATTCCCAGGTGCCTGGTTTAAGAAATCCCCTTGTCTGAAGGATTGGCTGTGTTTGCTGGCGTAGCAAAGTAAAGCTGCTGGACTCCCTTTGTGTATTTTTAACACATCTATCACAAAAGCACTGCTGCTTAGAATATAAATACACCAGGGCGAATCCATAATGCCATAAATTTAGCGACAAATGCAGCCGAAGACAGAGCAGTACCGCCCACTGCTTCAGCCATCGGGGGCAGACAGCAGAGCTATGCTGTCATACTTTGGCCTTGTAAAATGAGTAATGAATAATAAAAGCACGACGTAAAGTGCCACATTAAATTTCTCTCTGTCTGCAGAGTTTTTCTATGTACAAAGTTATAACTGGTTGTTCCAATGCAATAGCTATCAATATGGGTCAGAAAGAGAGATAGAGATGCTTCAAAAAATTCTCTCTCTATTTCATAAGTGCCCACAAAGAATGATCTATGTTAAAAACCCCAGTAATAGCTGGTATTTCTTTAATAAAGTCTATTAAAATGTGTGAAAAGAAGCAGCTTAGCCAAAGGAGATAATACGCTGATTGAACATTTGTCAGCAGCTGATTCAGTATGTTAAAGTGTATAGAATCTCATCTTTCTTTAGCAGACAGATAATCATTACTGGAAAAAAATAATTATAAAAAAAAATTTTGCAAAACTCTTTGGCCAGTTTTAACATAGAGCTTTGGAAACTGCCTTTTCTTAATAGTTACGTAGAACAACCTCAGATGTTTTTTTTTTTTTTTTTTTTTTTTTTGAAGAAATCATATTAATTGTAGCTATCTAATTATCTGGCATCAATTGAAAAGATGTTCCTGTTGTACATTTTACATGAAGTTCTACATACTGTTCTCTTTTAAGCAGAGAAAAAAGTGTCCAAACCCATTAAGCCAGTGTCACATGTTTATCATTTTAAAGCCGACTTGATTAAGTGGCATTTGGCACAATCATGCTACGCTATATTTCTGACTCATGTTACAGCTTAATGAGCATTAGTTAAATGTTCAGGACTGCTCCAGTTCCTCTACACACAGCATCACAGATTAGCATTTTATATTAGTTTAAATCACAGAGAGAATACTAAAAATACAGTAAGCAGTCATAAAATAACGCGTAAGGTGCTGATGCAGGACACACGCAGCGCTGCACAGAAGCAACATTGCCTCTGATGTTTTTGAATAAGACATGATTTGAGTTTATTTTTATAACATTGCCAAATGCAGACTGCTGGCAGGCTGATGGGTTGTGACTAACCTTCTTGTTGTATTTTATTTTTAATGAAGTATAAAAAAGAAAAGAAATTCAGTCTTTGTGCAATTCAGATTGAGATGAATTAAATCAACTGTATATGTTTGTGTCCTGTATTATCCCTTTCATGCTGTTGGGATCGTGGTACAATGCAAAGAATAGGTTATTCTGTTTTATGCCACTTCTCATTTTAAAATAATTGCACATGCTTAGCTTTATGGTAGTTTTTACTCTCATCTGTTTTTGTTTCGCCCAGAGTTCGCAAATTTTTCTTTTTCAGAATTTCAATATTTTGCTGGACGAAAAAATCTAATGTTGGTGTTATTTTGGGTGATACTAACAAAATGTATTTATCTATTTATTTCCTTTACAGGGCTTTGGGTGGCCTGTCTGTCCAAGCAATCAGAAGAAGAGAATTAGGCAATGGTGAAGGGCCATGGAGGCACTCACTGTTAGGTAGCCCATTGGGCATGGAGTGTGTCCTTCTCAGCCACGCATCAACAGTACTGCAGTGATCCAGTTCTGACTGTGGGTAAGTTGTTGAAATCCACATATAGAGCCTTGCTGCTTCTTGAAAAAATTTTGTATGCTGTCATATTTCATCCATAAACATTAGTGTATTTTTGGTGATTTTGCATAATGGACCAACTAAAGTTGTTTAATAGTCTTAAAGTGAATACGTTTGTTTCTTTTTTTCTCTAAATGTACGCAAATATCTATAATTTAAGATAAAAAAAAGAATAAAATGAAATCACATACAGATATATATGTTAAGAAGCAATAAGATTTTCTGTAATGTTCGGGTTCTAGAATGTATGTGTGTATATGATCCTTTTGTTTTTTAATCGTTTGTTACCTTTTTGGGTGTTTCCTTTTAGAAGCCATCTTGGAACCTTGCTAAGGAGGAGGCACGCCTCAAACCCAGCTCTCTTATAGAGGGAGTTATGATGGCTGAACTTTGATTGGCTGAAAGGTTAAATTGAGAAGGCGGGGATATAACAGTATATAGGTGGACTGCTGGCCGTAGTAAGGGGTCTGATGGGAAAGCTGCCATTTTGATCTAAATATAACTATACTCTGATGAAATAGACCTAATAAATCACCTTTTGTTTTTTGCTCCAACCAACTTTGCTGAATTTTTCCTTCCACACCACACATCTCAGCGCAACAATATATCTTTATATATAAAAACATGAGAAAGGTATGTTTATATGGTAGTTTGCTACAAGGCAAACGTTAAAGCTGAAACCCACAGTGACATCTGGTGGTGGCAGCATCATGCTGTGGCAAAGCTTTCCTTCACAGACCAGGAAGGTGGTCAGAGTGAACAGCAAAATGGATGCATCTAAACACAGATGACACAGATGGTAGAAATATTACCAATACTTTACAAAGTATTATCCAAAGCCGTTATATAAGAAGTGAAGTGAAGAAATGAAAGAGCAGTTTTCTTCTGCTTTATCTTTATACAATATTAAGGGTTAATGGTTTGGCCTATCAGACTAAAGCCCTTAAATATCTTTTTGATTATGATGTTAAAAGGTGACAAATTGCAAAGGGCATGGATCGTTTTTATTTTAAGAGACAGTGTAATTGTAACAGTGGTGAGACGTTACGTGAATTTAGTCAACAGATTTTAAAATTCTCACAAAGTTTGTTTAGTCTTGAGAGCTAACTTATATTGTTATTTTGTATATTTCTTTGTTGTTGTCTTTTTTAATTTTAGGAGAAATTTACCATATGATAATCTGTCAACAAACAAAATCTGTCCCAACAAAAGTTTATATTTTTGCTCCATATCGGCAGTAACATCAAATTATTTTTGAAAGAATTTTGTAGACTTCAAAATTCATAACAAATGAGGAAATGGCCTAAAAAGGGCAATAAAGTGTATGCAAGAGTGGAAACTTGTTAGGAAAAATTTGAATAATTTGTTTTGTTCAGCAATGGCAAAACCCCTTTTGTTATTTCCGAAAATGTTCTTGGACCATGCATCTGCAGTGAAACCTAAGAACACTCTTGTTTAAAACTCTTCATTTCATTCACGTTAAATAGAGTTAAATCATCTTTCATATGTATTCTATAGAATCCTTTGGTTCTGCTATTATCAATCTGCTTTATCTCAATCAATTCGATGCCTTTTTTGTTTTCACTTTCTGATGTTCTTCCTGGAGGAGATGGATGTGTTCGCAGTGCCAGGTGTCCTTCCAACTACTTCAAGACTTGAAATAAATGTTATTGTGGTTTATTGTATGCAGATCTTTAAACTTTTATAATGTTAGCATAACAAGTATACTTACAAAAGTCAAAGAATACATGGGTTGGAATTTGACATGGGGAAAGTATCGAAACAAAGAACTTCCTTTATGAATTGCAGACTGGCAATGGATGAAAGCAATTTTAGTCAGAGTTGCAAACAGAATCAGAATCCATTTATCGCCAATATCTGACAAATTTTAAAAAAATAGCAGCTCTGCTTTAGCGTGAAGACTATGAGTATTGATTAAATAAAATAGAACAAAATAAGATATATATGTATGTATACATAAACTGCTCAAAAAAATAAAGAGGACACTTAAATACAGTAGCACACCCTAAATCTGAATGAATGAAATATTCTCACTGAATACAGAAATCATCAATTGAAATAAAATGTATTAACCAATGGAGACCTGGATTTGGAGTCCCACACAATTCAAGTGAAAAAAATGACTATGGGCTCATTCAACTCTGACTTAAAGGAATAGTACACCCAAAACATGATTAGCCTTCATTTTCTACTCACCTCCATGCTGAACAACACTCTGGAGTACTTTTTTGATATCTCAAATGCATCTGGAGATCTGGGAGACTTCTTGCTGTCTGCTGACATTCAAATAATGGAGGTCTATGGCGCCCGAGACAGAAAGGTCCACAAAAGTCCACAAAAACTTGTCAATATTCCTCCATACTGCTCGTCCAATGTAATCCAAGTGTCCTGAGTGGGTAGCATCCAGAATTTACTCGAAACGAAGTCATTTAGAACGTTTTAGAGCCTAAACAGTAGTGTATAGGATTTCCTAATAGCGCCCCCATGCGCGCTCACGATTCTACTGAAGCCGGCAGACCAAACCAGCGCATTCAGCTCGGCAAAGAACTCATGCTCTTCCTCAACACTGAAGTCCTCAGACATTTTTCTTTCGTTGTTTCTTTCTTTGCACAGGTAAACAGCACATTTCTTCTTCTACGCTTGCATTATCGGCAGACCAGACGCTGAATGCGCACTTCCTTCCGGTTTGGTCTGCCGGCTTCCGTAGAATCGTGAGCGCGCATGGGGGCGCTATTAGGAAATCCTATACACTACTGTTTATGCTCTAAAAACATTCTAAATTACTTCGTTTCGAGTAAATTCTGGATGCTACCCACTCAGGACACTTGGATTACATTGGACGAGCAGTATGGAGGAATATTGACACGTTTTTGTGGACTTTTATGGACCTTTCTGTCTCGGGCGCCATGGACCTCCATTATTTGAATGTCAGCAGACAGCAAGAAGCCTCCCAGATCTCCAGATGCATTTGAGATATCAAAAAAGTACTCCAGAGTGTTGTTCAGCATGGAGGTGAGTAGAAAATGAAGGCTAATCATGTTTTGGGTGTACTATTCCTTTAATGTCCTTAAAACTGGCCAAAATTGGGCTCAGTATTGTCTGTGTCCTCCAACTGCCCTTGTAACCTCCCCACAACTGAACACACAACCTGGGCATGCCCCTGATGATGTGGTGGATGATCTCCTAAGGGATCTCCTCCCAGACTTGGACAAAAGCATCCCCCAACTCCTGGAAAGTCTGTGGTGCAAAGTGATGGATGGATCGTGACCAAGATTCAGCTCAGGTTTCAGGGTCTGGGGAACGGGCGGGCCGGTCTATAGCTTCAATGCTTTCATCTTGCAGGAACTGCTAACACATTCCAGCCACATGAGGTCTAGCGTTGTCCAGCATTTGAAGGAACCCAGAGCCAACCGCACCAGCATATGGTCTCACAAAGGGTCAGGATCTCATCTCAGTACCTAATGGCTGTCATGCTACCTCTGGTGAGCATATCAAGGGCTGTGTGACCCTCCAAAGAAATACCAGCCCACACCATCACTGACCCACTGCCAAACTGGTCATGCTGAAGGATGTTGAAGGCAGCAGATCGCTCTCCATAGTGTCTCCAGACTCTGTCACGTCTCCCACATGTGCTCAGTGTGAACCTGCTTTCATCTGTAAAGATTCAGTAGCAAATTTGCCAATCCTGGTGATCTCTGGCAAATGCCAAGTGTCCTGCACAGTGTTGAGCTGTGAGCACAACCATCATCTGTGGATTTTGGGCCCTCATATCATCCTCAGAGAGACCGTTTCTAACTGTTTGTGCAGACGCATACACATTTGTTGCCTGCTGGAGGTCATTTTGCAGGGCTCTGGTAGTGCCCCTCCTTTTCTTCCTTGCACAAAGGTGGAGGTAGCGGTCCTGCTGCTGGGTTGTTACGCTCCTACAGCCTCCTCCATGTTTCCTGGTGTACTGGCCTGTCTCCTGGTACGGCCTCCTGGACTCTAAGCTGAAATACACAGTAAACCTTCTTGTCACAGCTTGCATTGATTTCCCATCCTGGATGAGCTGCACTGCCTGAATTACTTGTGTAGGTTGTAGAGTTAGTCTCAAGCTACCATGACTGTGAAAGCACCACCAGCATTCAAATTGGTTTGATTTCACAGAAGTTTAATTGAAGTTATACTGGGTTGTTTTAATGTTCCCTTTATTTCTTTAAACAGTGTATATACGCATGTAATATATATGTAAAAAAAAAATAAATAAAATGCTTGCCGTTTTCCGTGTTGCCCTTACTATACAGAAAATCAGGATCATTAGATGCCATTTACAAAATTGTTGCATGAAATTTATTATTTCATTTTTTTGTGTTAATTCTTATGTCCTCCTGTTGTTGTCAGACCAATGGTAGCTCTTGGATTCCTAATACTGTTTGTCCTTGCCTTTATTGCCAAATAAAACCTTCTTGAGGATAGTAGTCTACAGAGATGGTGTCCGGGGGAGAAGAGTTGCAACTGATTTTATGGGGCAGTGGGAGTTATATATATATATGCCCTGTGTAGATGGAAGGGAGAGCCCATCAGTTTCTGGGCAATAATGATAACTCTCTGAAGTGCCTTCCTTTCTGTGGTCATGTAGCTAAAAAAAAAATGGTGATCCCACAGCTCAACATTGACTCTACTGAACACCGATAGAAGCACAGCAACTGTTCTGTTGACAGATTCCCCCCCCCGAGTAGTCTCAGGAAGAGCAAGCTTTGCCATGTCTTCCAGAAGAGCTCTGTGGAGTTTGCAGTCAAGGTCGGGTCTTTCATGAGAAACCAATAGAATGGTACCCTCTGTTTATTGAGACGCACTCCACCTGTTTTCTAAAAATCAAATCCATGTGTTCCCTGATGTTCTGCAACTTTTAGACATGATTCTGTCTCCACACACCTGACTCCAATATGAGCTCATTGCCAGACTTTGACTACCGCTGGTGAGCTAATTTAGCCATTTGATTTAGCTGTAGAGCAGAGATACATCGAAAATGTGTAGGATAGGGGCCTGTAGGATTTGAGTTTGAGCACCATTGCCCTTAGACCAGCCCCATCTTAGCTGTACCATCGGTGAACTGGAGGATGGAGCTACTGTGATGGAGAGGGGTGCATTCATACTGTATGTCTATAAGGTGTAGAGAGCCAGTGTTGGTCTTTAATGCTAAGGATAGATGGGATCCTAATCTCACCCTCTGTGAGCAGTCAATCAAAAAACATCAGAAAATTAGAAAAGTAAGACAGTTTAAAAATGAATAACATAGCTTCACCCTATCCACTGCAACCTTCTTGCTTTTAACACAACTTTAATTTTACAGACAGACAAACCTCCTACCTCCATTTCTTGACAATATAATGTTCAGGTTGTATGTTGATTTGTGATGCGAATAGTTCTTACACAATATGGCTGAGAAAATAATTGGTCCTAGTCCTTTCCAGACTCGCTGTTAGCTTTAGCCATTGGGATGAACTTATCAGGATTTCTGTTATGCCAAGAAGGTCTTACTGCAGCAAGAGCCTCACTTAATTTGTCCCAAACTATCCCTTTAAGCGATGATGATTACATTTAGTCATCTAGTGTATCTACTTTAGCATGAAACAAATTTTTCTCTACGGTTTATAATCAGCTCTTATTCTACGATTGTTTAAACCTTGCCTCTTACAAACAGATTTTTTTCTTCTAAGGGGAAATTATTCTGGACTCAGGTGGAAGATGAGTTAATTTGCCAGAGTCAATCCATGGTCTGGGGACATTGCTTCATGCCATTTGGCCTGTAGATAATTTCGGCTCTGGGCATTCATTCAGCACATCAGCCCAAATGATACCATTGGGCTTATGGCCTTGAGTGAGAACTGGATCCCAGAACTCTTTAACTGGTTTTGACATTTATTTTGAGGATTGTACCAAATACTAGCAATCATCTGTAGTCAAACCACTTGACCCTTTTTGCAGCACTCATGCTCCATTTAAAAGTCATTGTTGCCATTTTCTAAATATATTTAGTGACAGAAAGTAAATGCCTCTTGGTAAATAATGCCCTTACTATTTCCAAGTAGTAGAAGAAAATAGGATTCATTAAGTATTTATATATAGTCATCACAGTTTGTTTGGTTTAGTCATAGCCATATCCAGAAGTGATTACTACCAGAACTATGAAAATTAGATGTTCATAAAATCATATTCATGACATAAAGTAGACTAAAGTATCTAAAAAGGTATAAAGAAGTATTACTATTCAGAACTCTAAAGAAATTAAAGAAAATGAATCTGTTAGTCTAGAAAGGGTTTAAAAAAGCTATTTCTAAGGCTTTTGAATCATAGCTAAACAAAGAAGACTGTATAATGTCAGCTACTTACTGTCATGATGGGATTAAGGTTCCTAACCCACATGCAGGACACAAACGGAGTCAGATGAAAAGTTTGACTGTTTATTGAAAAAACACAAAGTTAATAAACTTGAAGCTGGGGAAACAGATCCGGGACTGGTCACACAGGGTTCTCTGCAGAGAGGGATAGTTAGGTTAGCCAGGATGCAGATGATCTTGTCAGAGGAGTTGTGCAGGTCTGTACCTGTGATGTGGTTCAGGCTAAGCAGCGGAAGGAGGGAACCAGGAGGGTCCAGAGGCAGATGGTCAGCAGAGGGCTAGGCAACGGCAGGGCTCGACGTCAGACTTGTCATTGTTTAGGTTCAGAGTTTCTTCCAGTTCTCTTCTTGAGAGTGGACAGTCAGGTTCTGATAGTTTGAGCTCAGCAGACCTTCTGAAAGCAGGCAGGCAGGTTTCAGCTGAGAAACTCTTCCAGAGCTCCAGGGTTTAGTCAGGTTTCTTCCTTAGAAGCAGAGAGGACAAAAAATTGTTAGATTCAGATTCTGGTTTTCAGGGGAGTCAGAGAATCAGACAGGCTGGTTGGCTCAGGCTTGCTAACCATAACTGGCTTAACACTCTGGCACTGGAGTGTTGTCCTGCCGCTGCTTAAATACTGGTCTCCTGATGAGCCAATGAGCCGCAGGTGTGGTCGTCAGCCTTCAGCTCCAGGAGACCCAGGGCGCCCTCTGCTGGAGAAAGGTGGACAGACCTCCAGATCCCAACACTTACAACATCCAGTGGTCCTGGACAAGCATGTAGCAACAGATGAGTTGCTTGCATCGAGTTATTGCCTTTGCACAATCTCTCAAACTGGGGTTCCATATCATGCAAGTCAGAAAGACAGAAAAACTCCCCTTTAAAAGGAAGAAACATTTCAGGTTCATTGTTAATGTCCAATTGCTATGACTGATGGTGTTTCACTATGAACGGTATATATACAGTAGAGGCCATTGTTATTCCACAAAAAAAAGAAAGGTTGGACTCCAATGAGAGAGTACCAACACCCAAACTGGATTAAAGGAGAGCAAAGGCCCATGTCCCATGACATGTCTTGATGAGCAGCAGGATTTATAAAAAATGCTTTATGAATCTGAGGAAAAAAATGAATAGTGTTACCTCTCTGAAAACCCTGAGGGAGAATCTGTGACTAGTTTTTTACCTTAAGCAAGATTAAGTTTGGGGTTTATCAGATTAAGATTTATGTGATGATCAAAAAGTCTTTCTAATGTTACAAACACTTGAAAGTTATAAAGGGGTTGGATACTTTTTTTCTAAAGCATCATACTGTACATCCCTTTCTGTTAACATGTTTGTTTTTTCAGATCTTCTCATGATTTTTCTTTAAATGTTTTCCATCACGATGTGCATTAAATTTCTTTTTATATCTCTGTTTTTCTTCAGGTAATCCAGAGCCAAACAACCAATCCTTGAGATGTCGAAGAGAAGAGATATTCTTGCCATCGTGTTGATCGTGTTACCCTGGACTCTACTCATCACTGTTTGGCACCAAAGTGCTATAGCTCCACTCCTCGCTATCCGAAAGGGTACGCCAAACACTGCACTTCACAGGCAATATCACAATTGAAGTGGGTCCTTGAACCTAACACTGTACTTCAGTTTTTTAGACAAAGGGGCTGTCTTTGTAGAGGCACTTAGAAGCTATGACCACAAGCTTCAGTAAAACTAAATACCACTTTCATAGTGACTCTAAGTTGCATTAATGTGGATTTTTTTATGTGTGCAATGAAGGCTTAAAAGTTAGCTGTGTAAACCTAAACCATATTGTCCAGTCTGCTGAATGGAGCTGACTTAGACAACTTTTATTGTCACTTTTATATACACAAAGTGTATACAAAACGAAATTTCATTTAGTACATCTTTCTAGACAGTAAATTAAGATTTCCATTCCATAAATTGCAGCAGTGATTAAATGTAAACAGTGTAGGAGAAAAAAAAACATGGTGCAAAAAATGCATTGATATGAAAGTTGATGGTGTTGCTGCAATTCATGTGCTTTATTTTTCTATTAATAAAAAAGCTGCCCACTGCAGGAGCTTATAAAACAATGTCCTCCTACAATCCGATCACCCACATGAGTCTTCTCGTTCTGCCTCACAAAACAGCCTGCGTCTACGTCTGGTTTCATGTTAGCACTCCCGCCTGAGTCATTAACACCTACTGAGTCTCCTGATCATCTTCAGAGATCACAAACGGACTCTGTGAAATGTCAACTGCGCTGCAGAGTAAACATCCAAATTAGATCAACCTGAATCAATGAAGCTGTTTGCTTTCCACTCGTGGTGTCGACGAGGGATTAACAAACAAGCCACATTCACTCAAATGATCCAAAATGCAGCTTGTTCAGAAGACAAAGCACATATTATCTGAAGTCCTTTGTTTTTGCAGGTTATCTAAGCATATTTTTCTGCAACAGCTTAACTTTATATCCGATTACAATAATTCAAGCATTAAAATATTTTTTTACCTGGAAAAACTATCTTAGTGTTCTTCGAAAACTAGGAAAAGTTGGGTTTATTAACCACCAAAATATTACAATGGCTACACAAACAACAGGAAAATTAATAAAAAAGATTGCTTTGTGTCAATACCATCTGATGAAGCTCTTCCTGCAGGGTTTATATCTTGTACTCCTGAAAAGAAAAGCTGCTGATTTTTTTTCTTCCTTTTTTTGGCAGAGTGCTCCTTGGCAGCCTCTGTTGAACATCTGGCTATCAGCAGTTTGTGTTAATCTCTGTGCTGCAGAAAAATTCTGATTCTTGAGCAGTGACAGTAACGTCCTTTGATCATGGCACAAAGTGGAAAACAATGTTGATAATTTTATAATGATACCCTGTACTTCACTATCTTCCACAGAAGTAAACCCAAATTGATATATTTTCCTCTCAAGATGAGCTTCACCCTCTTTATCAGAGAAGTAATAAAATAATATGTACAATGACGTGGGAAAAAAAACAGCTGTCATATGTGGACGCACTGTATAGACTGTATATATCGAGGTGACTTTTTTCTTCCTACATTCTTCTCCTTTGACTATTTGAGCTGATGTAAAAAGTAAATTACTCCACTGTGAGATCAATAAAGACAGTCAATGGATTAATCAATCAATCAATTAATTACAGCATTAGTAAAAAAAACATGTAGGGTAAAGAATTTTATATCTTCCACTTTACATCAACGTTTTTACTCTCTGGTAAATTTCTAATCCCACAAATTCCCTAACAGAGGGATCTGCCCCTTACAGAAACGATAACACATTTGTTGCTGAAGTCTGAGACCGAAACAAAACAGCAGAAATGCAAATCTTAATATGAGGGCATCTAAAAAATTTATCTTCATCTACAAAATAATCTTCTTCATCCTTATATCGACTGATCACAACTCAAACACCACACAGAAAAGCGTGAACAGTTGATAGCCAAAATGATCTTCGTTTCCACAATACACAAAGCAAGCAGTGCCAAAAAAGGTTTGCAGCATTAGTTGAGAGTTATAACAAATGTATTGTACAAGTTAAAAAGCATAAATATGCTTTTTTTTCTCTTTGAAAATAGACTCAAGGGATATAGAGGTTAAGCTATTACCCAGATTTGCTAATAAGAGGAGTGAAGTGATGACGTACGGTATGTGTGACCAGCCAAAAGCAGGATTTAAAAAGACAAGATTCAGAAATTATTTCAGATAAAAAAGATTCATAATGTGATGTAATGATGTTTAAATACAAGGTCCTTTCACCGCAATCTTTTCAGCACATGCATATAGATGAGCAAGAACGATAGAATTAACACATAGAATTTTTTTCAAAACTGTTGAAATATAGTGTAAAACAAAACAGATTATTATATTCAGCAGTCATGTAGGACCTGTGGTAAAACTGGCATATGCCATTTTGAAGTGACTGCTTTTCAACTGGCTTGTCCTTGTTTAAAGATTTTAAAATTGGAAGAGTCCTAAATCATGGAGCCCTGACACAATAATAATAATGATAATCAAGGTTTTTGCAGCCTTCTCAGAGCACAAGCGCATTGCTCTAACCACTGGGCCAGCATTCCCCAAGATGCAGCCTCAGCAAACTTTATACTACAACATAACATTTGATGCCTAATTTTATATGTTAAGATCTTTTCTTTCCTTAGTAGACATTCCAAGGCGTATAAACATAGAGGTGTCTGTGTGAGTGTCTGTGTTTATATGGATGGATGGGTAGTCCTCACCCTAACTTTAAGAACCACTGCTATTTATAATTGGGAATCCCTAAAGGGTTTATTTTTATGGAAATGTCTGCAGCCTGCTTAAAAACAAAGCAGCCAATGCACAAGATGGGGGAGGGAGTCTGTGGTGGAGTCTGGACCAAAACATTTTTATTTTCAGCGCATTTAGGCTTTTTACTTATGTTTACCTTTGAATAAAACCCCATTGGCAATGCTTTGGAGAGAGCCAAGCTCATGCATGCCCACCCTTGTTCGCACTGTCTCCTTCTCCGTCAGCTGTTCTGTCCTCTGACGCTGCCTGCTTTCGCTTCTTGCAGCCTGTCACCACCTAGTAAAAGAGATCTTTATCATTCCAGAGAGGCTTGCGGTCCACCACCACCGACTCTCAGGTATACTTTACCCCCATTGGGTTTAAGTCACCTGAGGCAAATATACAAAGAGCAGCTCAAGGTTGCACTAATACCTTACATGCTTTCTTATTCCCCCATCTACAGATGATGGTGCCGAGGGCAAGAGGGAGACCGGTGGTCAGGACTCCAAAGAATACTGTGCCTCAGATAAGGACATTGTGGAGGTGGTGAGGACAGAGTACGTGTACACGCGGCCTCCACCTTGGTCAGATGTGTTGCCGACAATTCACATCATCACTCCCACATACAGCCGACCAGTACAGAAAGCAGAGCTGATCCGGATCGCAAACACTTTTCTCCATGTCCCAAACTTGCACTGGATTGTGATAGAAGACTCACAGAGGAGAACGCCTCTAGTTACAAGTCTCCTCCGAGAAACGGGGTTAAACTACACGCACCTCAATGTGGAGACGCCTAAGAACTTTAAGATGCGAGGCGACACTCGTGATCCCAGGATTCCCAGAGGGACCATGCAGCGGAACCTGGCCCTGCGTTGGCTTAGGGAGACCTTCAAAAACAACAACAGCCAGCCGGGCATCGTCTACTTTGCAGATGATGACAACTCATACAGCCTGGAGTTGTTTGAGGAGGTTAGTGCCAACATTAGCAAGAATCTTGAAATAATTTTAACTCATCCCTGCAGCTTTTCAGCAAATGAGAGCAACTGATCCTAAATTCAGAAAAAAAATAAAATTAGAATACAAGGGAAAACTGATCAGGTTTAAAGATTGTTCATTAAAATAAAGCAGAAAATATAAAAACATGTCCTTTTCAAATCTGCCATGTTCAGACTATAAGTGTTGGGAAGCCTCTACACACTGTGTGCTCTGCTGCAGATATTTGGCTTAAAGTCAGGAAATGCAATTACTGAGAACATTGCTGGTCAATGAATTTTTATTTCATCAATTTGGTGTGTGGATAATTAAAACCAGTTTGCTGAATTAGCTCTCAGACTTCAGTTATGCTCTCACAGTTTACAAGACTGAAAATTTGCAAAAGTATATATTGTATTTGCATAAATTATAGCTGATGTAGCTTTGCTTTTGCGGCCATGTCAGTTTATGTGATTGTGTTTTGGCAGGATTATGAAATTACACTTTTTTGATTTATTGTCTGATTCATTCAATAATCAAATTCATTAAGTCTGATTTGCACAAGTTAACTCAAGTAACCAGTACCGTTAATAAAAGTTTTTCTTTCATAATCCATTTAGAAAAAAATGTGCTTAGTTTTTAGATTAAAATGTTGAAGAAAAAATCTATTGCCTTGCTATGCAGTACATTGGTTTTTGTGATGTCCAAATCATGCTGCTAAACTACCCATTCTCCTTTTTAATGGACAATTCATTAGCTCACAACAAGCCCAGTCAGGGATTTGAAGCTGGGTGACTAATGTCAACACACGTAAACAGAACTTCTCAGGCCATCCATTTCGAGATCAGTCGAATTACCAGAGCGTACACATTGCAGGTCCTGTGTGTATTGGCCTCAAGTCTTGTTAGTAGTGCAGACAGTGTATGTGGCAAATGGAGGGTCCGGCATTGACGGGGACTGTCATTACCTTTCTCTGGAAAGCAGCCAAAGTACTCAACCTTCCTCTGAGATCCTCTGTCACCTCCAACATGCCTATTTATTGGGAAATAACAACACTGGGGGGCAAGGACAGAGCAATGGGAGTCTAGAAACAGGAAAAGAGAAAAGTAAAAGTGGACAGCCTAACAAACAGCGCTGTAAATGCAGCTGTAATGCATTAAAACTATTATATAGCTACATCTATAGCTTTAGCAAAATTTTATATATATATAATACATAATAGAGAATAGTTCTTTTTATAATTAAATACTACTGAGACAAATTGTTTTAAATTCACAAACAGCAGAGAAATTTGCATTGTTAAGGTCGGGTTAAAATAAATCTGCTAATTAAGACATGAACCAAATTAGGTCTTTGAATAACTTGCATGCTCATTGTGAGATCTATGAGGGTGACAATAGAGCCAACAATATCAGTAGGTAGGAAGCAAAGTTGCCACCCTTTTATTTATTTATTTTTATATTTAAGTGTATAAGAATTAAATGCATTCACATAAAAATTTAAGCACAGCTGTCTTATTTTTTTCCTTAAAAAAATTGCGGATTTGAAATGTAAATTCAACACTGTCAATGTATTTTACCTTAAAGCCGTCTGTGTTTGGGCTATAATTTTCAGCTTGAAAACTAACAAAAGTAGGAAGACAATTAGAAGAATTTTACTGAAACAATAATTTAAGACTTTGGCGCTCAGGCCTCGGCAGGGTGCTTTAACAACGAATTTTACTGTGTTTACATGCACGAGCCGCTAAATGAGAACAGGGATGAAGCCCCATCGGCCTGAAACTGGTGGTGGAATGGAGATGGTATGAAGAAAGATGCCAGCTGGGGCAAGGCGTGGCTTCATATGACCCTCCATGATGAGCAAGCATAAGGCGACAGTGGAGAGGGAAGAAAAGTGCCGAACCGGCTGGGGAAGCCTTGTGAAAGCAGTATGAGTCCAGGGAATTACTTTTATAGAGTGAAGCAGTGACATGGGGAAGAAGCTAGATGAGCTTGTGAGGATGGTGGAGAAGAAGATGGAGGAGGGTTGAACCGTGGTCATCAGAATCAAAGTCTGACATGTGATCCAACCCATATAATTTCTTGGTGGCAGGCTGAGCAGTGATTGTAGTCTTCTAAGCAGGACTCTGATGCTGATTGGATTATAAGCAGATGTGGCTGAATGTTAAAAAGCTGCTTTATAGACAATAAGCCTCTGATTGCATGAGGGTAAGCGATCCAGTTTATTCAATTTACTTCTGCCTATGCTGCATTATACAAACTGCATCTCTGTCTTTGTATTCTAGAGAATGTAGATCCATACCCTAACATCTACATTTCCGAGATTGTTGCTTTAAATGCATTTTCATGCACCACTTCTGGCATGATTGTTTAACTTACAAAGTTTGTTCTGAGTCCCAAATATATTATATTTTAGAAACAAAAGGAAAATCTGAACAGTTTTTGTGCAAATTATTGTTCAGACAATAGTCTCCTTAAATTACAGAAGAAGTGTATAGGGCAGATTCCGTTGTCCCTTGAACATCCTTAAGGGTTGAGTAATCTATTGTAATAATTGTTTTTTATGTGTCTTTTCAACCAAAGGATTTTTTTTCTCTCTTCACTCTAAAATCTCCAACACAGAATCCTCCCTGCAGACCGCACTCAAACTGGAACAGGAAACTGAGTCTAAATCCCGAGGCTGGCAAGCATTTGCAAAAGTGGAGCAACACCACACTGGAAACTGTGTACAAACCCATCATATTCGCCTGAATGAGACTGGGAAAACGTGGTTGCATTTTCATTTGCTTGGCTGCCAGCAGAAGAGGGGATTTGTGTCGTCTCACTCCGGCTGATATTCCCTCCAGAAGAAGCAGGCGGAACGCTCATTTTCACATTTCCAATGTGGATGCAAGAGTGACAAACCTCTTGACACCGCCTGCGAGGGCTCTGATTTGTTGTTTCCTCTTGTTAGAAGCTGTACATATATCCTCATGGATAAGCTGGCAGGTGATGGCGAGGCCAGCATTTACTCGCTGCCAAAAAACATTAATCCTGAAAACTGTTCGATCTATGCTGTGTAGCTACCAAAACTCACTGGAGACCAAAAAGACAGAATAAGAGCGTGATGAAAGTATATGTTGGTTAGACAATGCGACAAACGGTATAGAATATTTTTAGCCCCACATAGACTGGAACCCAGTATTTCTTGAGTTTTTGCATTATCACCCAGAGCTCATTAGGCCTGAAACAGCACCTCTGTTTTCCCTAGGAGCCAACATCCACGAATCTCTGAAAGCCTGCAGCCTGCAGTGTTTCAACTTCTCTCTTAAATCATCTGATCCAAACTCTTAGCAGAAAATTGCAAAGAATGTAAATATCCAATGTGTCTGCTCTTCACTTGACCCAGGCAGGCTGTGCATCTTACTTGTTTCTGCAGAGGTACTTGTGAGGCATCATTATTTCTGCTGCGTTGGGTTTAACTAAATGCCTGTGCAATTTCTAAACCCAATTTGTCCCTTATTTTCAAAATGCACCTTTAAATACACCCACAGCACTTTTTTTGTTGTTGATGCGGCAACAGACAAAGTAGAGAGCGGCAAAACTGATTGATAGTAGAAGATTAAAGGAGAGAAAAAGGAGGATGGTGCTGATCCACCTTAAGGAGTCTTTACAGCCAACCAGGAGGCAGGGTCATTTTCTTTAATAGCTCTTTTCCTTTAAAGCCTCCTAGCTCTTCCCGTGTTTACTCCCTTTAAAGATGGCTGCGCCTCATTACTTTATTGTAGGGCAGCACTTGAAAAGTGTGTGTCAGCTGCACTGGTACAGCAGCACGGTCAATATTCAGCATCCTGAATGAATCATCTCCATCCATGCTCTGCTGCAGTGCTGCTGGCTGAGGCTAAACTACTGCCATGCTGTCATGTATGCTCCTTCAGATCACTAATTTGCTCTCTCCTTCTCCCTTCCTCTTCTAATTTCCACTCTCCTCCGGCTAGATGAGATCGACTCGGAAAGTTTCAGTCTGGCCTGTGGCCTTTGTGGGCGGCCTGCGCTACGAGTCCCCGAAGGTAAACGCAGCCGGAAAGGTCTATGGTTGGAAGGCGGTGTTCGACCCCCACCGGCCCTTTGCCATCGACATGGCCGGCTTCGCCATCAACCTGAAACTCATCCTCTCCAAGCCACAGGCGTACTTTAAGCTCCGTGGGGTGAAGGGAGGCTACCAGGAGAGCAGTTTGCTCCGAGAGCTTGTAACACTCAATGACCTGGAGCCAAAAGCTGCCAACTGCACCAAGGTAACCTCTTTTTTTTTCTTTGATCCCGAAAGTTCAGCAGTTTGGTTTAAGCTGTTTAACTGCATGTGAGAATGTCTCAAATCTGCTCACCAAATCCAAGTGTGTAAACTGTTTCTAATTTTTGATCCCCTTTTATTTTTGTTTTATTTTATCTCTAGCGTTTACTACTCTAATTAACAAAAAACTTTAACCTCAATACCAAAACAATTTAATTTTAAAAGGGTATAGATTCAGTTCAGATAAGCAGAAAATACAAATATAAAAGCCAGTACTACCAGATTTTACTTATACTAGTCATCTAAGAATAAATAAGCAAGTATTCAAGCAAAATTGTCATAACAATTTCAATTTCATAAAGATGTCAACATCGACAGATATTATCATAACAAGTACAGGATTCTTCTATAAATAACTGTCGGAGGTCTGCTGCACAACTTTTAAAGTTTTGTATGAGTCTTTTTTCCCAATACAACACAGTCCAACAGTTATGGCTGCACCTTGACGTTGTTAGTAGTACTGCTGTCGTGCAGTAAGAGGGTCCTGGCCTCGGTCTTTCTGCAGAGTTTGCATGTTCTCTATGTGCATGCATGGGTTCTCTCCAGGTACTATAATTTCTCCTTCAGTCCAAAGACTTGACTGTTAGGTTGATTGGTGTGTCTAAAATGCGCTTAGGTGTAAGTGGTTGTTCCCATGGTTGTACATGTATTTCTCTGAATCGTTCTCTGATGGACTGCAGACCTGTCCAGGCTGTACCCTGCAGGAGATATGCATCATGACCCCAAATATGTTTAAACATGGATTGATGATGAATGGACAACAAGCAACTTTACCTGATTTTGTTGTTGTTGTCAGTGTAGGCTATACTTTTAATGCATATAATATTAAAACCAAACTGATTTCCTTCCCTGGATGATATCCAGGAATAGAATAAGAGTTTTCCTTCGAATACATGATTACAAAACGCACTGAAGAAGGAACCAACACATTTTATAAAGCCCTGAAATCAACGAAGGCAGTCATCTAAGAAAAGGATCAGCAATACACCTCCACCAATACGGATAGTTTTAGATCAGGTTTAAATCAATGGATGGAAAAACTACAAGCATTATTTTTCTTGGCCAGTTGTCTTCTGTGAATTGTTTATTAGAAAATAATGGTAGAGTTTTTTTGAGGGGGTTCAGCAATGTACATTTCCCTAATTGGCTCTGCTGCACAAGAGGAGATCACTGTAATTGATGCCGAAGGTTCTTTGCATGAAAGAAATTAGACTCATTCCTATTATTAACACGGCAGGTGGAATCAAACTTGATTTTACTTTAGAAAATCTGTTTTTCAAAAGAAAGATTCTGGGAAAGAAATATTTTTTCACATGTTCTCTCTTACCGTTCACATTCCAGGTTACAGAGACTTTTTCTAGGTTAAAGGAGGAAGCACAAGTATAGCTCACACATAAAGATATTGATATGATGCTCAGTGGGGCTAGAAATAGAGCTAAGAATTTAACCTACTACAGCCTCATTTAACAGCTTTAAAAGAACCAAAATTAATTGTATAGGAAATAAATGAGAAATATTCCATAATATATATCATTTAGCAGAAACTTTGCTTACTCTAGAAATCCTTTTTTTTAATTAGTACCAATCAAGCAAAAATCAAACCTTGTTCTTGAATGAGAATCTCAATAATCCAGTGACAGATTATTTCCATAGAAAAATTATGTGAAATCATGTTTTAATGAGATCAAACTGTTTTTAAAAGTATTTTTTGTGAATATATATTTCAAATACAGCCAAGATGCATTTGATTCTCAGCTTATAATCTCTTGGCACAGATGTCCTGTTTTATCACCCAGTTTACTGCTTTTTTTTTGCTTGTTGGTTTGGGTCAAATCGCTGAGCTCCTCCCTGGGTAAAGAGGAGTCAGCCAGAGGCCTATCCGTATCACAAGCACCTGTATACGCACAAAGATGGAGAGAAGAAGAAAAGAGGGGAAGGGAAAGGACGTACTCTCAGCCAGGTTTTTATCCCACTCCCCTCCTGCCATTCACAGCCCTAAATGAAAAGAGGGGATTCAGAGAACTGCTCAACTCAATGGGACTCGGTGAAGGAGGCAGAGACGTCACACTGATTACAGATGAGTGTTGGAGATGGACAAAACAGGGCAGTTAGATATGGGGGGGGGGGGGGTTAAGTCGTGTATGTGCATCTCCTTTTCTTATAATCTTCCACTTCAGATGCGAGCATCACTGTTACCCCCCTCCCCCCTTCACCTGAGCAGAGTGGGAGTGGGCTCCTGGCACAGCTCATGCATATTTCATGGCTGCTGCCAAGGCGAGATGAAAGGAGGAAGGGTACCAACACAATGGCGAGAAGAGGGAAATGAGCTTGACACTTCTGAGTTTGTTCTCCCCATCCTGCATGTTTGTTCTGTCTCTGGGGCAAAAGCGCACCAGCATGGAGGCTTTGGGTGATGTGATGGGACAAAAAAGGAAGCAGAAAAACTGTAGTACTGCCACAAAGGGAAAACTTTATACACCAAATAATTTAAAGCTGTCAATCACTCGAAGAAAGCAATTATTCAGTGGTCAGAAGAAAACAAAAGGGGAAAAAAAGGAAACCCTGTTCAGCACTGCCCTTTTTTCCCTCTGCTTTAATGCAGGGTTCATGCTTAAGTAGCTCTATACACATAGATAGGCCCTGCGGTGCTGAGCTGAGTCCAGGATCGTCTGTATTTGAAGAACATTAGGATGAATGAGTGCATTAAGGGAACAGCACATTACTAATGTGTCTGCTGTTTGTGTTTCTGTGCTGCTTTCTGTTCAGATACTTGTTTGGCACACGAGGACAGAGAAACCCATCCTTGTAAATGAGGGGAAGAAAGGATTCACCGATCCAAATATCGAGGTTTGATTGTACTTTCCTCAAAACCCTGGTAAATATTAACCCAATGTAATGAATACAGAAGGGGGGTTATTTTTACTTTGTCTCACCAGTGTCATCAAGACAAACATTTCCTCTCTTATAGATTTCATCTGTTTAGATCTATACTATCATTAAATACATTTTAATATCAGACACAGATAACCTGGGTAAATACAGCATCCCAAAGTCCAGACTTTGACTAGGCCTTTTCAAAACCCTAATATTGTATGTTTTCTTTACATAGCTTTGTTTGAGCCTTAGGTCAGGCAAGCAAGTTGCTAGAATATCAATCCATTCTGCCAAATAATTCAGGTCTTTAAGCAGCAAAGCAGCCCCAAGCTGTCACACAATATTATTTTATTGTAAACATAACCCAATGCATCTGGGTACACACCTTCCAAAAGTTGCAGTCCATTAAAAATACTTCCAATAGCCATGAGGATAATCATCATGTTTTGGAGAAGATATAAGACAGACATTTATTTCCTTGGTCAAAAGCTTAATTTGGAACCATTTATAGGCTGCTAAATGTCAATTCCTTCAATTAGCCTGTGTACAATAATATTTTTTTTAATTGGGAGTAGGATGTGTACCTTTTAGAAACTTTGAAGCCTTCCTTATGTTATCGGACAGGTCTGGTTAAAATTATTGCAGCAGTCAGTTAGCATTATTCAGGATTTTCTTAGGGGAGAATTTTTGTACTAAACCAAGTGGGTTTTGTTATTTTAGACATCATAAAAAGCAATATTTGAAAACAGCATGCATAATTTATTTTGATTATCTTGAGCTAATGATAAAACTAGTTGGAAAATCTGATACATATACAACTGATATGAAAAGAAGTTTTTTGATTATCTGTTTTTTTTTATGCTTTTTTGGTTGTTTTTTTTGCAGCACTTATCCATAATAAGTTCATCACTGATGAACTATAAATATATATATATATATATATATATATATATATATATATATATATATATATATATATATATATATATATATATATACATATATATACATATATATATATATATATATATATATATATATATATATATATATATATATATATATATATATATATATATATATATATATATACAGGTGCTGGTCATAAAATTAGAATATCATGAAAAAGTAGATTGATTTCAGTAATTCCATTTAAAAAGTGAAACTTGTATATTATATTCATACATTACATACAAACTCATATATTTCAGATGTTTATTTTGTTTAATTTTGATGATTACAAATGACAACAAATGAAAATCTCAAATTCATCATATCAGAAAATTAGAATATTACTGAAGACCAATAAAAACAAAGGATTTATAGAAATGTTGGCCAACTGAAAAGTATGAACATGAAAAGTATGAGCATGTACAGCACTCAGTATTTAGTTGGGCCTCCTTTGGCCTGTATTACTGCAGCAATGCGGCGTGGCATGGAGTCGATCAGTCTGTGGCACTGCTCAGGTGTTATGATAGCCCAGGTTGCTCTAATAGTGGCTTTTAGCTCTTCTGAATTGTTGGGTCTGGTGTATTGCATCTTCTTCTTCACAATACCCCATAGATTTTCTATGGGGTTAAGGTCAGGAGAGTTTGCTGGCCAATTAAGAACAGGGATACCATGGTCCTTCAACCAGGTACTGGTAGCTTTGGCACTGTGTGCAGGTGCCAAGTCCTGTTGGAAAATGAAATCTGCATCTCCAAAAAGTTGGTCAGCTGCAGGAAGCATGAAGTGCTCTAAAACTTCCTGGTATGTGGCTGCGTTGACCCTGGACCTCAGAAAACACAATGGACCAACACCAGCAGATGACATGGCACCCCAAACCATCACTGACTGTGGAAACTTTACACTGGACTTCAAGCAACGTGGATGAAGTGCCTCTCTTCTTTTCCTCCAGACTCTGGGACCTTGATTTCCAAAGGAAATGCAAAATTTACTTTCATCAGAGAACATGACTTTGGACCACTCACCAGCAGTCCAGTCCTGTTTCTCTTTAGCCCAGGCAAGACGCTTCTGACGCTGTCTGTGGTTCAAGAGTGGCTTGACACAAGGAATGCGACAGCAGAAACCCATGTCTTTCATACGTCTGTGTGTGGTGGTTCTTGAAGCACTCACTCCAGCTGCAGTCCACTCTTTGTGAATCTCCCCCACATTTTTGAATGGGTTTTGTTTCACAATCCTCTCCAGGGTGCGGTTATCTCTCTTGCTTGTACACTTTTTTCGACCACATCTTTTCCTTCCCTTCGCCTCTCTATTAATGTGCTTGGACACTGAGCTCTGTGAACAGCCAGCCTCTTTAGCGATGACCTTTTGTGTCTTGCCCTCCTTGTGCAAGGTGTCGATGGTCGTCTTTTGGACAACTGTCAAGTCAGCAGTCTTCCCCATGATTGTGTAGCCTATAGAACTAGACTGAAAGACCATTTAAAGGCTTTTGCAGGTGGTTTGAGTTAATTAGCTGATTAGAGTGTGGCACCAGGGGCCATCAATTTTGAACCTTTTCACAATAGTCTAATTTTCTGATATGATGAATTTGAGATTTTCATTTGTTGTCATTTGTAATCATCAAAATTAAACAAAATAAACATCTGAAATATATGAGTTTGTATGTAATGTATGAATATAATATACAAGTTTCACTTTTTAAATGGAATTACTGAAATCAATCTACTTTTTCATGATATTCTAATTTTATGACCAGCACCTGTATAAATGTATCTTGTATTAAAGCACAATGGCAGCTGCTGCTTTCTAAAATATAGAGGCTGTTGGAATTTAAATATATTTAAATAACTCCTCCAGTCATGAAATGTTATAACTTCTTTCCAGTTTATCATAATTGTTTTTGTTTTGCAGGTGGTTGGTCTTGCATCTTTGGTGGTGGGAAGCTATGAAGTTTCTGTAGAACTGTAACTTTAGCACTGAAGTCTTAAAATCTAAGTGAAGAAAAAAATGAAGTATGGCAGGGGTTAGAAATCTGACATTTTTTCAAATGTGGACCAAAAACATGTATAATATATCATATCAAAGCACAGCAGAGATGGAGGGTGCAGCCGTTCTTCGAGTCTACCACTGAAGAGCAAAGGATACTTATTCCTTACAAGATTTACTTGGAGGACAACGGCCGGAACTGTCTCTGAGGAGGGAAAAAAGACAGCACAAAAAGAAAAGCATACAGCCAGCAGATCGGAGCAAACTAGCAGGTTCAAGAACTTTTTGTCATCTTCAAATGAAAATGGAAAGGATCTTCAACAAACGGACCATGATCTGCACATTGCACACAACAAGAGCTCCAGGACGTGCTGGATTAAAGAAATAACAAAACAAAACAAAAAATTAAAAAAAAGAGCACTCTCAGCAATGAAGGAATGTTGTTTTAATAACTACAAATATTTGCTGTCGTTTAATTTAACTGGTTTAGGGGTTTTATGAACACTTGATCTGCTAGTTTAACTATCCTGACTCTTACCCTCATTTTCTGTTGGGTTATCATTGTCAATGCTATACCATCATCATTTGCAGCAAATTAACATTTTTAGCATCTTGGTTTGAAATGAAGAATCATAAAAATCCAAACTTAACTTCCTTTAAGCACTTAAAAACTTTATTTGGGGGGGATATTCTTTTTGTGAAGAAATCAGAGGGAAATTTTTGACAAATGCACTGGAAATATTGTATTTATGTGTGAATGCAAAACTATTAAAATTCCTAAAATGTTACACAACAAAGCTCAGTTACTGTCTGCATTCATTTTACAGGAAGACTGTTGGGATTTTTTTAAATTTTATTAGGAAAACCTTCAGTTTTTCAGATTTACAAAAGCTTACAATTTAAAATTATGTTAAATAAAAAAGACATAATATTAAATCCATCAATAAAAACAGATGTCCCTCATTATCTAATGGATCTGTGGACAGAAGACAAAATAAACATAAAAAAAACAACATAATTAGCTACTCATCAAGTACGGTCTTATGCTAAATTAAAATCCATCCACCACTAATTTATGTTTGGTAACCATGGTGACAATTAAAATCCAAGTACAACACACTAGCGCACATGAATTGTAAAAAATTTTATAAATGTCAAACTTGTTTATGCTACTTTTATTTATTTTTTGGTCACACATTACCAAAATTTTTAAATTTCTTGTATTTAAAAAAAACAATGTCCCGTTTGGCTAAAAATATTTTAAAAAAACTATGTATATTAATTTGATGACAGTTTTGGTCCTCTGTTCTTCATCTGTTATGTTTCACTAAGTTGAATGGTGTGAACAGAAAAAGTCTGCATCAGATTTTGGTTATATTTAATTTTACATGTAAGAAAAAAAAGAATATATATATATAGCAGCATCAGGTATTGATTCCTAAGCATCTCTTTTTTTTCTTTTTGTTTTTTTTAAGCATTAATGCATGGCCCTGGAAATGTGATATATGTACATTCTTTTTTTGTGTACATTAAGCTCCGAAGTCACTGTAGGCAAATGAAAAGCACAATAAATATAAATGTTCTTTTTGGTCTGGTTGAAAAATGGAGGCGGCTGGTTTTATCTGATGCATTACCCTGTAGCTTCGTGTCCAACATTAACTGGACCACCCAGGAAGATATCTGCAGCACTTACGATAGACGGCAGCAGTAATCATGCAGTACAGCTGATCATTTTTAAAAAGTTAATCCACACCTCATAGCATAATGGAGTCTCTCCTCTGCTTGAAAGATCCATCCATCTGCGATCCCCAGTGGGGCTCCTTATCTAACGCTGACCCGCTGTAGAAGCTGGAGATAATTTTAACTATCGCCTGACTCCATCTGTGCAGTCCCCTAACCTATAACACAGAATGCAATATTAACTGCTGCAAAAAAAAAAAAAAAAACATAATCAGATGCTATTCTTAAGCTCAGTCAAAGAATTTAAGTTATCACATATTTTTTCTTGGCACTGAATGGCCAAATCTGAGCTGCTTTCATTGACCGCATGATACACAGAGCAGGGATTAGCCATGAAGCTCACCAGCTACCCTCCAGTTATTTATTCATGACTTAATATTATTTATTTCTATATTTATTTTTCACTTTGGATTTGTATTGTAATCACAGCGGTTGCTATTTTATTTTTCATTCAGCTGCTCTCTGGAGCAGCATGCTCACAGGAAGCATACATGGATTAATATGTAGATCGGTAACAGGATGGTGTACAAAGCTGCTGCTGTTAGGCATGTTACACCACAGCTGGTTTCCTTTAAAAAAAATCAACCTGAAATGTTTGACACAAATTAGAGTTCTAGTCTGATGTGCAAAAATACCAGGGTATAAAGAAAAAACAACAACCAGTTGTAGTTTTTTCTCAACCCAGTCTACCTTTCAGAGGAAACTTATTTACTGTCCTTGTTTCTGAATGATGCTTTTGTCAAGGTGCAGACTGAATAATGATACTGCAGTGTACAGATCAGCATGTGGTCGGACTGATTGAATACGGTTCTGTGATGTATTTGTTTGTGTGTGTTGTGTCCTAGAGCAGCAGAACAATTTAAAGGGCTTTGCCTCAAACATGATTTTACTAAATCTCTTTACATCTGATTCAGGTTATTGTTTTTGCTTTTATTTCACAGAAGCTGCATAAAGCAATAGTTTCCTAACCAGCCTCCCCACAGCTAACATTGACATCCTCTAAGGCACAATACACTTTACACATAGTAGGTTTTTTTTATCTCCACTGGCATAATCCGCTCTCATTCAGTTCTTATGCATGTGACTCTTAAGGTTGTTTATTTGCCACAGCAGCTCTCTCGGAAAAATGTTAGTTGAATCAAGAGAAATAAATAAATGAAAAGAATATGTTGTGGTCCAGAGTGTTGTTTCCAGAGGATGGGTTGTTATTTTATTTACCGAACTGTATGCATTTATTTTTCTAGAAGTGGATCCCTTTGGTTTGGAGGTAAAAAAAAAAAAAAGATGACAAAAATAAAGGCATGTAGACCCTCATAGTATGAATTGTGATAACGGATCTGAATCTAGAATATTTTTATTTCTATGAAGATAAAAGACTGAAAAGTTTGTTGCGGGAGAATCTCAGATCTGCATATAGTTTATAAAAACTCATCTAAATAATGATTCCAGGAAGTTTGCCCCTGTGTTGTTTTGAGAGCTCCTTGGTTTACCTGATGTAATGCCTGCATCTAAGTGGGGCTGCAGCCAAATTCATAAAAGTTGGGTTTATACTGAGAAAACATATGACAATCACATAGGTGGAAATCACTGCACTAACTATAAGACTTTTAAAGATAACTGGTTTCATCAGAACTTTTTAGGGGCTTCATAGGAAGTGGATACATATTCACATCCTAATTGTCCGGTTTCATATTTTCTCTACTTTTTTTTTTTTATAAATTCTTTTCTCGTTTCATGCAGATCCATGATGTAAAATAATATAAATTAACAAAGATGAAAATTATAGGGTGGATAATTTTTTTTATTATTTCAACTGTTCTGTGAGAAACCATTAACATAAACATTCCATGGCTCAGGTGGGACATACTGTCTGCTGTACAGCTGTTAGAATCCCATTTTACTTTATTTTTAAAGAGCCAGAGGGAGCTTTTTTGCACAGGGTTTGGTCAGATAAGACAAGAAATCCCCTCTCTGGCCTAAATTTGAAATCCTTTGTGCATTCAGCAAACAGATACTTCACATTGTACTAAAGAAGACCCCCTACTGGTGAAACATGGTATTGGCTGCAGTACGTAAGGGGATTATTTTCCTTCACAGAGAAAGAGAACTGGCTCAAAGACATTTGGAAAATTGTTAAAGATAAATACATAATGATACTAAAAGAAAATGTGTTGGATTCCCTCTTAGAAAAGAACAACACCCAGAATAGAACTACAACAGCTGTAATGAGATTTATTAAAACAGTTTATGCATTAGCATAGCCCAATCAAAGTCGGGAATTGAATCCATTTTAGAATCTGAGGCAAGACTTGAAAACTGACAAATAGATCCTTTTATTTCAGTCTGGAATATTCCACAAATAATAGACAAGCTTTTGATCTCTATGTGAGCGAAGCGTCTAGACTCTGCAAAGATTTTCAACTGAAAGAAGGTTTTAAGAAATAATGATTCAGAAGGTTTAAATGGAAATACATGCCTCACTTAAAACATTTTAATCTGTATAGGGAAGATTTGAAAATCTGTATATTCACATTGTAATCAATTTTTCTTCAATTATCAAATAAATTCTGCATGAAATACATTAAAAATTAAAGTAGTATAAAGTGGTCACTAAGATGTGAATCAGGTAGATATTTAAAGTAGTTTTCAGCCAGAAACAACTGCAGTGACAATGCTTGAAGAAATTAATATCATGAAGTTATCATGAAGCCACAACAAAAAAAACATTATTTTCAAAGGGATTTTGTAACCTTGATATCTCTGCAGAGGCTTTCAGTGAATCTTCAGAGGATTAGGCAGGAAAGGCTGGAGAAAATAAATAGCTCACAAGCTTCTGTGGCTTTGGTTGCAAACAGAGGTCAAAACAGGCTTTATTGATTTTTTTCCCCACAAACAACAAAGACCAAAGGATACCTACAAATCACACATAATCACAACAAATTTTCCTCAATCTGTATGAACGTTCATGTAATTATCGAGGTTAAATAAAAGAAATATTAAAATAAATGCTTGAATAAACATGCATGATTAGTTAAACAAAAAAGGAAAGACAACTCAAAGTCTTCTTGACACCTTAGTCCCTCTGATCAGGACAAGTGGCCCAGATCCATGTAAACACAGCTCACAGCAGTTATGTCGGCTCTGCTCATGCTCTCTCTGTCTCCTCTTATTCTCACTGGACATCAACAGTCATGCCATAGTCGGGGCTTTTGGTGAAGTGGAGTTTACCATCTGTTTCCTGCTCTTCGAACACCACGACCTATGACAGCGCAGAGAAAAACAGCTCAGCCAAGGTCATGAAAAGGACAGTGAAGTCGGCTGGTTTAGTGTTAAGTTATGCAAAGATGCAAACATGGAAACAGTACCAGTCATTGAAGGCAATTAAGGGAAATTAAAAAGCAGTTAGCATAAGTGCATTAATAATTTGTTCAATGTGCAAACATTACTGTTCTTATTTGGCTGGATAAGATATTACAACCATTATCACAGAAAAATGAACATATTTAGTAAACTTGTTCAGTCATTGCAAGCTAAATAGTTTGGAGATTAAACTGATCAGTCAAAGGTCAAGAGATTTCAAGATGCTATGCAAGGCAACAACATGCAAGTTTCGTGCATATAAAATCAATAAAATTTAAATTCCCTTACACCCTTGTTAAAATTTTTTTAGATTTCAACACCTTCAATAATAACATATATTTAATAATTACAGAACGTTATCCATGTTTAATGCATCAAAGCCTAAATGACACTGAAGAACCAAAAAGAAATCTACTTAAAGTTGCATAAAACCTGCTGCAAATGCTTAAATGATTGCTTTATAATTGAATAGCTGCATTTAGGTAGACAATTGTCAAAAGTTACAGAAGAACTGATTTCTTACAGATACTATTTAGCTGTCCAAAACTCTAACTTTTGGCCACAAACAACACAGCAGATTAACAAAATACCATCAGATCTACATTAAAATGGTGGTAGCACCATTTTGTGGAGTTAAAATTTGAATTCTTGTCACAATGGGTTAAGTCTTAAATAGTTATCCATGCCAGTCAGCTTTTATCTAAACATTCAAAGTGTCTGCAAAAAAAAGCTTACAAACATGACTGAAAATTTTAAAAGAGCTTTTGTTAGAATTTTATGAGTAACCTACCAAAGTGCAGAACTACATTTTTACAGGAATCCTGAGAAATGATCTGCAAAGTCTGATACATATTGAAGAACTTTAAAAGACAGAGTGAACAAGTAATATCAAATTTAAGTTATAGGATGCTGCAAGATTCCAAGCAGCTGGGGTCTACACGCTTATGCAAGGAAGCATTCACATTATGGTTTGCTGTGCTGCTATGATCCACAATTTATTCATTTTTCAGTTGAATCACAGCAAAAATGTCAAATTATACGTAAAGAACGATTAAAATGATTTGTCATGCCCTCATTTTTTTCTGTCACCAAAACCCGACATTTTAACAGGGGTGTGCAGACTTCTTATATCCCCTGTTATGTGTTTCTATTTCTGGAAAATGGTGAGCTGTCACCAGAAATGTCATGAACCAGTTTTGGGTAAAAATATACAGATTACATAAGTAGTGCCATTGACGTCTTAGCAGAGCCTTTAAACTTTTGAAGGAAAGAAAAAAAGCTTTTAAGCCCTACTGTTATGTAAGAGATGATTAATGGCATATAAAAAACAGATTTTGCAGGAAGCCTATCTTGTAGACCCTTTCCACATTGTTACTTATTAGCCTTCTGTTAAGTTTCAAAGGGAGATGGGAAGCTTTGGGTAAATGATGCTCCATGCATGCATACCAAATACTTAAGCATGCATGCTTCACAAGCTAATAGAGCTTAGTTTTTTTTTTTATATCTTTTAAAAAATTTCACATCACTGGGACACCATGAATGCCAAAGATGTGCACCTTTGCTACAGATGTACACAAGAACAATCCGAATGTTGCAGTGATGATCCAATTATTATCAAAGCTCTATCTTCTGCTAAATATCCAGATGCTCAATCTGCTCCGACAATGAATCCCTCTGTTCCGCTGCGTGCCAAATGCATGGAGCTGCTCCAACGGTTGGCAGTGCCACCTACTTTCCAATTACTTCTGCTAATTATTTGAACAAGTGCATGGACAGAAGGAACATTTAACTTTAATTCTTTAAAGGTTAGTCAATCCTTGAATATGACGGGGCCTTTATCTCAGTGCACCCTTTATCCCAATACATATGCATTATTCTAAGCAAAGGGCAGAACAGGAATGAACAAGTTATGCCAAAGACCTACAGGGATGTTTCATTTTCTCTTGTTTTAAACAGTGGTGTCAAAAGTACACACTTTTGTTACTTAAGTAGAAGTATAGATACTGCAGTTTAAAAACACTCTGGTAAAAGTTGAAGTATCAACTTGACCTCTTTACTAAAGTAAAAGTGAAAAAGTATGTGCTCCAAAAACTACTTAAAGTATAAAGTAACCTTTAAAAAAAAAAAACAGCCAGATGCCACTAGATGAATTGAAAGCTACATTTTTAGGCTATTTCTAAAAATTAATTGAGACAGGGCCAAGGATGAGGGAGGTCTTGTTGGCCTCCATCTCCATCTCCCGATACGTTCTCGCCTGTGTCCAACCTTTCAGACATTTCAACATGTTTTTCTGAATCCGACATTGCAGCATGGCATAGACAATTCCTGTTTGCAGTTTGAAGAACACCTGCTTGCTTCTGAACATTTCCTTTGGTGCTGTCAGCACAAATTTGATGAATAGCTAACCAATTTGCGTTATATGACTCATCCAATTACACTAGTTTTCACTAGATGTGGGTGGAGCCAATGATCTGCATTGGATGGCGCACATGACGTGAAATAAATATTTATAAACATTAAACTGAAGCCAAGAGTAACGAGTAAAGTTTGTTTTAAAAATGTAAGGAATAGAAAGTACAGATAATTGTGTGAAAATGTAATGATTAGAAGTAGAAAGAAAAATAAGTAATGGAGTAAAGTATAGATACCTAAGAAGTGTACTTAAGTTACTTGACACCTTTGGTTTTAATGCATTTGAAAAAATGTCTTTGATACCCAAACACATATGGGAAGGTAGGAACATGGGTGGTTAGTTAATTATGACCTAATCAGACAAAATTCCTTTTTTTTTTTATAACATAT